TTTTCAGATTCTGTGTCTCCCTCTCTCTGACCCTCCCCCGTTCATGCTCTGTCTCTCTCTGTCTCAAAAATAAACGTTAAAAAAAAATTTTTTTTTTTAATCAAATCTTTGTCTAGTAAATCCACCATCAGGTGTTTTTCAGGGAAAGTAGAAACTTTATTCATTTATTTTTCCCTTTGAATGGGCCACACTTTCCTATGTATACCTTATGTATCACTTGTATGCCTTGTGATTTGGAGGGTTTGAAAACTGGACATTTGCCTCTAATAATGTGGTAGCTCTGAAAATCACATTCTCCTCCTTCCCCAGAGTTAGCTATTGTTTTGAGTCCCAGTTTTTGGTTTTGCTCTTAATTGTAGGCTGTCTCTGTGCCAAGGATCAGCCTGAGGTGTAAACTTGGGTCTTCTTGGGTTTTTCTGAGCCAGCACCATTTCCTGGGCATGCCTGGTGACTTTCTAATTCCCCCTGTATATGACATTATTTTTGAATGGTCTTAGTTTCACTGTCTGGTTCCCAAACGGGGAAAGTGAGGGGCAAAAAAGAAAGGCACCAGCCCCTTTAATGACGCTAGAAGTCACTTCAGCCAAATGGGAAGCAGTTGGCATTGGCAAAAATGGGAGGGGATGCAACAATGCCACCACCTCTTTGAACCTCTGTGTTCAGAAGCAGCGATCAGAGCAGGTCCCAAATATACAGAAGACAGGGTGCTTTTTGCCCACCCTAACTCCACAATCTGTGTACAAGCTACTCCAGGAACACATACATAGCTGTCTGATGGGAGCATATATAGAATGGTGAGAAATGGGTAGCTACTACTAGGCTATGAGCTTAAATTTATCGAAATTAACTGCAATTTACCACCAAAGCCTTTTTTTGAAAGTTAGGAGCCTTTGGATTTGAGATCCAAAATATTTATATAAGATTCTGCCAGTGCAACTTTGTCTAGGTGGGAAGACAGATTTCTGTTGTTTCCTACTCTGTTATCTTCCCAGAATCCTCAAACCTTGTTCTAATGTTTAATAAGTTCTTAAGCTTGAGTATCACTTTATAACTTTAATTAAATTTTAACTCTAAAGAAGTAATGCTAACTTCATTGTCTTTAAATCCTTGATTAGCCACATCTACACACAGGCACCACTCTTTCAGCCTGGACACAGGCCAAGAGACGTTTGCCAGGGACAAGTGGAAGATGCAGCTCCGATAGATAAGATGACCAGTTTTCTGAATCTAAAACTCAGACATAAAGGGGCGCCTGGGTGGTTCAGTCATTTAAGCGTCTTGATTTCGGCTCAGGTCATGATCTCACAGTTTGTGGGTTTCAGCCCCACATCAGGCTCCATGCTGACACAGAGCAGAGCCTGCTTGGGATTCCCTCTCCCCACTCTCTCTGCCCCACCCCTGCTCCTGATTTCTCCCTCTCAAAATAAACTTTAAAAATTTTTTAATTAAAAAACAAAAATAATAAAAAACATAGGAACTGACAAAACATTTGAGAATGATTATATGAAAAATTTTATAAATACATAAAAATTAAATTCAATTAAATTATAAATTTAATGCATTGCCTTTACAAAAGAAGAGTCTAGTCAGGGCTGTCCCCAGAAAATTAAGACATAGGGTCCCAACATACATGTTGAACGAACAGGGAGAAGGGAAGCATTGATCATTGAATGAAATCATTCCCAACTTTCATTCCTTACATACTTTGATCATGCTAATATCTCAGTAAATGTCCTGTAATGAAATCAGTATATTTTTCTTTACATTTAATGTAAATACCAACAGTAGTCACCTATCAACTTCATACAAGAGCACACTTCACAGGTTTCATAATCAAATTTTATTTTTTTAATGTTTATTTATTTTTGAGAGAGAGACAGCATGAGCAGTGGAGGGGCAGAGAGAGGAGGACAGAGGATCCAAATATAGGCTCTGCACTGACAGCAGAGAGTCTGATGCGGGGCTCAAACTCATGAACCATGAGATCATGACCTGAGCCAAAGTCAGTTGCTTAACCAACTGAGCTACCCAGGTGCCCCCATAATCAAATTTTAAAATAACCACATGTAATAAAAACAAATCACAATTTTTTAAAAAATGCAAATAATAAAAAAACGCAAGTACAACATAGAAAATACAAGAATGTAATTTATTTGCCTTATTTACCAAATGGCTAACTGTAAAGTTACAATTTTTGCCTTGGAGTTTAAGGCAGTTTCACTTTTACCATAGCCACTTTTTCTGAACATACGCTAGAATCAGCATCTTCTGTGTTTTAAATGTATTTAATTGATCATTTACATTTCATATATTTGTCCACTTGAGAACAATATTTTCTTCATGATCACAGAAGCTCCATAACATAAAATGTCATTGTCTTCATATATTTGAGTAATACCGATCACGGTTTTGAAAGTCTCTATGAGCATATCTTGCATAAGTCTTGTTATGTGGGATCCTTCCAAAAGGTTCATGGTCATTGAAACAAGACTCAAAAACTTCATCAACAGCCTTTTGAGCTACTTCTTTGCTGATATTCCTAACAGCCAGGATAGAAAGAATGGCTCTGTCTCGCACACAAGTCTAAGGAGAAAGAAAAGTATGTGGCTTTAATTTTATATGAAAATTTAATCATAAAATAATATTTTATATAATGTCTAACTACATCAGAATTAATTCCCTTTCATATTATTTTACAAATTTATGTCATCCTCAAGAAGAAACATTGGAGTGCTTGGGTGGCTCAGTCTGTTGAATGTCCAACTCTTGATTTCAGCTCAGGTCATGATCCCAGGGCTGTGGGATCGAGTCCTGCATTGGGCTCCGTGCTAAGAGTGGAGCCTGATTAAGATTCTCTCTCTCTCTCTCTCTCTCTCCCTCTCTCTCTCCCTCTGCCCCTCACCCTTGCTTGCACTCTCACTCTCTCTCTAAAATAATAAAATAAAATACAATATTAAAAAAGAAAGTAGAAACATAATTCTTAAATTATGGAATATGTTAAACTCAGTCTAAAATTATTTAGGTATAAGTTACACCTCCTCCATTTTTTTCATCATTTCCAGTAATATAACCAGACGTCATTCTCTGAAGTTTCAGGCAGTCCAACAAACAGTCAGTCCCAATTTGCAAATATCAAAACAAAACAAAACTCTATAAATAAGGTTCTGGTTGGATTTTTAATAAAATTTAAATAGATTTAAAACATACTTTACTTCTATGTCTCTCTCCTCTACTTTTCAGATGGCCCATACTAGATAACTCTTCCTTCGAGAGGGGCGCTCTCCCATGGAGGCAAGAGGAAACCACACATGCACACACAAAATTTAAAGGCGTCTTAATTTTTCAGGGGGAAAAAAAAAATCAAACAACTTTTTTTT